GAGCCAAAGGTCAGATGTTAAGTGAGATCATTACCATACACCCATCTTTCTTGGTCTAATGCATAGCTATTTCATTACCTCCAGAGCATTTGTTAATAATAATGTTATGCAAGTTTTACAGGTTTGGATGAATTCTTCTGGACGCAAGTGGGAGCAGAGGGGGCGTGGCCAGAGTGTGTGGTGGCAAAACATTGATCCGTTTCTGTAAGCTGCAGCGTGGAGGGGAGCAGCCTGGACATCCAAGATTCTGGGAGGTGCTGCTAAAAGAAAGGAAATTGTTGGTAAGAAATTTTCCACTCTCTTTGTGGATGAACAGTCCTTTTGATCCATCCAGGATACTACGTAATCCATCCAAGTTCTTCAGTTTTACAGATGTGTAACTATTGATTTGAATGGAATTACACTACTATAAAACTGTAATAATGCAGTGATTCATCACATTCCAGGGCTAAGATTTTCAAACACAGGAGCCTAAAGTTAGATTCCTCAGTCTATATTTAGAATCCTGAATAAATGACCTGATTTTTCAAAAGTGCTGAGCAACTATTGATTTAAATTTACTGCTCTACACTTCAGGCCACTTTTTTAGGAATTTTAATATGGATGTTGGGGCCCAAATTAGGCTATTTAAAAAAAAATGTTTGCCTTTAACTTTGTATTTATGAGAAACATACATATTTGCATTCCTTTAGAAAGAAATATACTTAAATTCATTTAAATTTATTTTCAAAGCTGTCTTATTTAGCAACATTTCTAAACATTAAATTTACCTCCTACCTCATCTGTTCAGATGTACCTCATTGAGTACCACCGTCTGCACAAGAAACAAAGCTTTTGTAATCTATTTCTGCAGAAATAATTGCTGTGTAACAAACAGAAGACAACCCTTTATTAGTTTGTTTCCAGTCTTCTTCCTATATTGAGAAACTGTAGATGAAGCAAGAATTAATGAGCATGAACACGTAGAGTAATTTTAATTGATTTTCTTGTGATATCGGAGAGTGGAGGTTCTCAAAAAAGTTTGCAAATAATGTGTAAAAGAAAGTTAATATTATTTTCAGGTCATCAGAATGCTAAGCAAAGAATAAATAAAGGATTTTTTCCCTTTCTTCTGCCCATCCCCCCACCATCTAAAAATACCCCCCAAATAAACAAAAAACAGTAAGAAACATTTCTTAGCCTTTCAAAACCCTGGAGCAGATTCTCGCTTGGTGAAAATCAGTGTAATCCCATTTGATTTACACTAGCTAAAAAGCTAGCCCTCTATTTGAACGTGCTGTGGAGTTAGCTTTCTCTGCCAGTGTTCAGCATCATTCCACATGATTCTATAGAATTCTAATATAAATTCTGGTCATAAACAAAGAAAAAACAGATGGACAGAGAATATGATGAACAATTTGTGTCTGTACACATTTTTTCTCCTCTGTTAGCACCATTGAAATGCATGATTTTTTTTCTCTTTAGACTTCAGTTTTGCATTTCTCTTCATCTTGGTTTCTAGATACATTGTAAAAATCTTTTCAAAATATTAAGGAAATTACATCTAAGTCTCACTTTTAATATGTGTTCCATGTTTGTAAATGTTCCTTCATACATCAAATGTGTTGCTTCCCACCAGGTAAACTACATCTTATTGCTTACGATGTCTGTCTCTGCACAACATTTAGTTCAGAAGGCATAAATAACAGTGTGTTATATAAATAATTACATGCATGAAAGGTTGTAAAACACTGAAGATGTATTTGTACTTTTACTTACGAGAACATTTTAAAATGATTGCCTTGTTCAATGTGTGGGTTTTTTGTGTGTGGAATGGGGCACACACGCAGAACATTTTCCAAAGTTTTTTTTTTCCTTTCCTTCAGGTCACACTAGCATTATAGTTAGCAAATTGATAAGGTTCCACTGTTAAGCTTTATTACTTGTGACATGAGCCTATGACACTTTATAAAAAGAAGTAATCCAGAACAATCTCTAGGTAATTAACACCTAGATAAACAAACATAAATTTCTATATTGCATTTATTTGGACTACCACTCAAATATGCGTGAACCATGCTTTTTTAATTAAAAGATAAATCTATGTGACACTTAGCCTCAAACTTAATTATTCAGCATAGTATAATAAAAAATAGAGCCCATTAAATGTGTCTTGCTCTGTATTTCTGTATTAACAGCAAAACAGTTCACTCTGGGATCATTTAAATTTTCTACCTCCTCTTTTCCTATGATTTCCCTGTTCGTTGAGACTCTTTAAAAAACAAAAACAAAAAAACCCAACCAAAATACGATTAGCAACACCAACAGGTGAGGAGCTGCAGAACTCTTCACAATCCCTTTGTATAGTGCTCAGCTGGATTACACTTTTAATATTACATTACACTATAGTTTTACCTTCCCCTTGCCCCCCGCCCAACCTTCCCCATGGAAACATACTTCCACTTTGGTAGCTCATGCCAAGCAGTGATACGCAGAAATGAAAAACACAATACTTAAGAATAATTTCACTGGGATCGTGCTTACAATACACAAGGTGAGATTTTTATAATATACTGTTACAATACAGATGTTAAACAGATAAGGGAAATATTCAATTCCCAAATTACAGTAGACGAAGGGGTTATAGTCCTTATAAAAGTTTCAACAAGAAACATTGTCTTAAAGCTGAGAGCAGCTTTCTGATGTTAGGTAGAAAGACTCTTGTCAAAACATTCACCATCTGCATATGAAGGCTGCTGATCAGCTGGGCTAACAAAAAATCTTTACAAATTGCCTTTTTTTGAGACAACAGGATTTAACTCTTTCAGACATTCTGTTTCCCGTGGAACAGCTTGGCTGTTGTTGCCATGTTTTGTGGTACAAGGCCTCATGGTGGTTCTTTTCCATGGTTCCTAAAGAATATGCAAACCATTTAATCATAGGATTCTATTATGCATGTTGGATAATAAAGGAGATTGTATTTGTGAACATTTCCATCGAGGTGCAGAGAAACTGTTTCCGTTCAATATATCGGGATCCACATTTTCATTTAATGTCTGTTGAACCTGAAAGAAGGCTGGAAAATCTTTGGAGGAAAAAAATGGTTTGTTTTTCTTGGCTCCTGGAAACAATGACTTCTTGATATGAAAGCACCCCTGGAGCAAGGCAGAGTAGAATTCATATACTGAAGCAACTAGATCTTGCCTTGGCAATTTTACATACTATACTTCCCAGATGAGATAATGGGTTACATCAGGAAAGGTTGTGAGAAACCCCAAAATATGTATTAGTCATTTTGATGACCTTCTTGAATTTGAACCCAAATTTGATCTACTAAAAATGCAATTTTTCCTAATTACATGTAGCTTTTCATTTTTCTCTTAAATGGTACTAGTCACATGATTTGTCATGGCAATATTTGCATTCCGCCCATTAAACTGAAAAGTCAATTCCTAGATGTAACTTTCAACAACTGATTAACTCTGAATTTCTTCATTGCTAGTCTTCTGTTCTTAACACTGCTAGGTAATTTTGTACATTATCTACTGGTCACACACACACAGGGATTGGAGAATCAGCTCAGCTCAGCTCCAGTATGACATTATTAGCAGAGTGTGAGCAGTTTCATCTAATTCTGTTAAAATTTCCCATTGTTGTTTCCTTCTCAGTTTTCCTGTGCAAGGCTCCCCTCTCCCCCTACTTTCTGCACTTTAGAAGTATTTAGTCTGCTTTGGTGCATCCATTTATTGATATGAGTTAATTATTGTTACTCTTTTCAATGAGTGTCAGTCAAGAACTTCAGATCCTTTAATGTAGTTGCTTCCAAGTATGAAAATCAAAACATATACAGGAAGAATAATGATGCATCCGGTAGAATATGAGGGCTCTTGCACTTGCAAATTCCTTTAAAATGTAGGCAATTTTCTTTACATGCACCATTACAATAAACCTCACAATTTTCTAAAGCCAAGTATATGATCTATACAAACAAATGTGTTTTAACATGAAACATGACTATATACATTACAGTATATGATACACACTTTAAACACTTTAAAATCAATGCTTGATAGACCCCAAGGCTTTTTTCTGTAGTACATAATTAGTATTATATAAAACAATTATTACTACATGCTAAAACAGATTTCCACAGTCTTTCAATTAGTCACAATATATAATATATCTATATCTATATACTGTTTATAGATTTGTTCTGATTAATAAGTGGACTGAGCACACACACCCAGCATAGTACACTCCAGTAACTGCCTAACAACAGTGAATTTACTGACATTATTTTTTAATATCTGACAAAGCTGCAGAAAGTAATGTTTTAAGTGTTCCTAATAAACATATGCAAGTAGGAAAACTTTTTTCAGAGGTAGAGGTTTTATTGCGTAAAACACTGGATAAAACTGTACTGCTTCAAAGACAATTTTTATTCTAACAGCAGAAAGAAAACAGTCATTGCTGAAAAAACAACTTTTAATACTTCTATACCAGAATAAAGTTCTGTCAACTGATGTATTATAATAATAAATAATGACCAAGAATAAACTTTAAATACAAAGTTTTCTAATTGTTACAAGCATAGCAACAAAATCCTCTACTCTATTATTCTCAGATTTCCTCCAAGATAGAAATTTTTCTTTGTGTAGGAATGTAGACAGTATTATGACCAGTATCACAGACTACAGAAGTTACAGAGAAAAAACTTGACATGTTTAGATATGAGAAGCATGATGATATTCAGAAACTGACAATGCATCACTGCTGCTGTCACTTGTTTGTATTACAAGTTACAAATGTTCTGGAAAAAAGGTCTATGTCAGAGGGGAAAATAGGGACAGTAGCACCGGACCAAATGGAATCAACACACACATCACAAAGAACGGGAGATGTTTCCAGTGTCACAAACAGAATTATTGCCTGTCGTATCTGAAAATGCTCAGAAGACACAAAAGAATACTGAAAGAGCTCAAAAAGTGCAAGAAATGGAATGTGGGCTTTTTTTGTTTTTTTTTTGTTTTTTTTTTTTTTTGTTTTTTTTTGATGTTTTTTTTTTTTGCTAAGATATTGAAGGCGGCGCAAACACACAAAAGCAAGCGACTGACACAGTCACCAAACACAGTAGTGCAGTTAAAATCCTAAAGCTTACTACAGTCAGAAAGTTTTCAATAACATTTCAATCCTTTATCTAGGATCATAGAAACAGTTGCATTAAGTTTATCAACTCGATTTAAGTAAGGCAGTGAGAACTATTCTAGAAAAACAAGAAAAGCAGCTTGCTCTGTGCCAGATGGGTCCAAGTTACACAGTGACCTCATTTAAACTGAAACTTCAGTTGGATGACATCCTTTCCGACAGCATATGCAAACCGTATTCCTTATTAGCCTGAGATTTTTTTTTCCAGTCTCAGGGTAGCGCTAAGAATTTTATTTACATTGATTGCAGTTTAGTATTTTTTGTAAACTGCTTTAGGCAGAGCTGAAGTTTTAAGGCCCTGGGGTTTTACTCTGTGCTCCCAGCCTGCAAAGAAATATTGACTTTTTTTTTTTAAAGTCTGGATTATTTTGTTTTAGAAGAAGTTAATACTTCTCTACTATCATAATAAACAGATAAACAGCACCGATTTTGCTTCTATCAAAGGAAGTACATTAAAAGGCTAAAATTTTATGCCATTCAAGCAGATTTAAGAATAAACCATTACCTATTATTCTTACTTTTTGTTTTTATTGTGTGTTTCATTGTAGTCTCTCAAAAGCTTCCTATATGGCAAAGAACTTAATAAATTTGGAGGATCCAATCAGTAGAAAAGCTAAAATCTGCAAAAATATAGAACACATTTGTTTTACAAAAACAAAGAAATATTAGCAAAAACACTTTTCTTCATTAGAGACAAAGAGCAGGATGTTTGGATTCATATTTTAGGTCAAGCTACTTTATAAGAGCTTGCTCCAGAAGAAACTCCTGCACTATGTCTGTAACACTTATAAAACCTAACAAATGAAAACTAACCATGACTGGGGAATCCTTCATTCAAGTAAAAAAAGAAAGAAAAGAAAGAAAAAGAAACCAACCCGCTAGTTAATAATATTCTGTTTCTCACCAGCACCTTCTACAGATAAGGTTGACTAGTTTCACTAAACAATGTTTTTTTTTTTTATATATATTGTACTTCTACTTTTACAGCAACCTACTTCTTCATCAACAAGAAAGAAAAGAATAAAAGAATTTCCCTCAATACTGAAAGTTGATCTAAAAAAAATGGAATTACACAACCAATCTGCAATCACACATTGGTCTTCAGATTCTTTCTAACCATTGATTCATTTGGCTGTATATTAAAAAAAAAACTGAAAATGTAATATCACAATCCTTTCCAATATAGGTCAGTACTGACCCCAGCTTATGGGCCGTCTAAGATTTCTCCTATAGTGCAGTTGCAACACCACTTGAATTGATTTTCTCTGCAATGACAGCTCCAGTCAGACTGGCACCATGGCAGTCTACCAACACATCTCATTACTATGCTAGGCAAATGACAGCAGCTGGTGTCATATTATAAAGGTGTTTTCAACAATGAAAACACAGCCCCTCAATCTTCAAGGCAACACTAAATCATTTAGACGGTATCATTTTTCTGTTAAGAGCATTATTTTTGGACAAAGACCACTTTGAAGTTTGAAATCGCTCTGCTTTTTAAATAACTAATGACCTCCTAACATTTTAAAATCACTTTATTATCCCACCTACATTGTTTGGAAGTACTTGTTGCCAGGTAACAGTTTAGCAGCCATTTTCAAGGGCTGGGAATTATTTTTTTCTTTTTGTAATATATACGTGTATATATATATATATATATATTTAAATGTTTTAAACATCCTGTACACCACTGGGAATTTGTACACAATTCTTTTCCTTGGAATGCAGTTATCAAACTCTTACCCAAATGCATACCTAAGAACTGTGTAAAATAATATTGCAATATACAGATTGATTTGTTCAGCTGCATTACTCTTGGGCCTTGCTGCCCTCCTCTGTTAGCTCTGCTGAGCTCCCAGGTTTGACAGCTGCAGGTTCCTCTAAATTCCCAGAAGCCTCGGAGTCAACTCTGGAGCGCTTGAACCTGCGATCTGGATACTGGCTGTTGTCAAAAGGCATGCGATGGACACAAAGAACATGGGTCTTCAGATTTCCCTTCTGAGAGGCACTGTATGGGCAGTATCTGCACTGGAAAGGCCTATGACCTGCATGACAGACAAAAGTCTGGTTAGTTTTTCCTCATATTTACATTTTCACTGCAAGCCAGTTCTTTGCAAAGTGTAACAAAGAAATACGGCTATAAGGAAGTGCTGCATGCATTGAGCAACAATAAGAAATTCATAGTGCTTTTGTGGAGTTCTATTCATACAAACTGTATTGTTAAAAACTCTTTTTCTGGGACATTAAAGAAAACTAAGCCATCCCCCCTCCCTTCGTTAACATAATTGTTAAGCATTCACTCTGTGATCCAGTCTGAACACTTGCAAATAAAGTTAACCATATAATAGGTTCTTTTATATTTGTTGATTATCTAGAGCAATGCACGAATGATAATGTGCAGACCCCACTCTAATAAACATACTTTGTCTTTGGGTGGGTTTCTGAGGATAACATTGTATGTTTCATTTTATGCACATGGAGTTGTTGTGTTGTTTTGTGTTTTTCTGAATGGATAGCAATAATGGATTGAGATAAGCAAGCCCTCAAGCCTGCAAATACTTACACATATGTGTAACTTCACTGCATTGGGACTACTCATGTGAGTAACGTTATGCAGGTGCATGAGTGTTTGCTGGATGGAGGCTCAAAACTATAGCTAACTTAAAAATAAAATATCCAATCTAGATTAGAAAAGGAATGTTACCGCACAGAACCTGATGTATGCTTGTGTTTGAAATAGTGACTGAAAAAAAGGCATGAATGAAACACAGCTCTTTTTATTCAGTCTTGCAATGTGCTTTACATTATTTTTCATATTATTGTGACTTAGAATCTTGGTGCTGTATCTGGTATTGGAGGTTATGTTTCAGCAATCACATTTCAACCTATGCTGGGAAGTTGTTGATGTGTTTTACTGGAACTTTATGAGCTTTGTCTCTCAAATTAACTTAAACCAGGACCATCTGAGGTCAAATGCGCTTAGCTTGCTTTAATTTGCTCAAATAAATGAATAAATAAATGTGCCAGACCATCTACATAAATCCAGGACAAGTGAAAAACAATATCCAATATCCACATTAGAAGAGCACTTTTTCCCATCTCCTGTTTCTATACTACATACTACCTATGAAGCAGGAGGAGGAGTAGTAAAGTACTGTAGGTGTGAAAGCACTGCAGTGCACACAGTGTGGGAAGGGGCCAAGAGTGCTTAGCTCGAGAAATGTCACAGGCAGGTGAGCTGTGGCCAATCATCATTTAGGTGTTATCAAGTTAGTTTTACATAAGTAAGTGGAAGATGTGTAGCCTGGTCAGATGTTATTCCCATTAGAGAAAGAGGTCTGAAGTGACACCGGGATTACACTGGTGGTGTTCTGGATGGTGTGTTGTCAGGAAAACTCACTCCATGTAAGAGATGTCATCAGCTGATCTAGAGTGCTCGGGCCCCTAAAACAACCCACTATTTGTAATGGAAAAAGTGGGAATTAGCACCTGAAGACTGAGTCCACACACAAGATTCTAGCTGCTCCTCAGGAGGAGCGAAGTGTTGTACCCAGAACAGAGACCTATGGGCATGTTTCTTCAAGCAGGGATACGACATTTGTGTATGGAGGAGATGCCTGCTCATCATCAATGAATTGATGTCAGTTACGTGAGGACAGAGTCCTGCTCCAGAATACAAAATATTTACATTTGCCTAAATGGATCCATAGGACACAGTAAGCTGGTTTCTACCTAAGTCTCAAGGTTCTTCTGCGCCTCAGATAGGGAGATGAAGGGAAACCTTCCAGACAAGGTACTCAGGGAAAAGAGATGAAACCCAGAAATCATTAGTCTTAACAAGGGAAAATTTCCAAGGAAAATTTCATCTTGGAAAAAGTAATCGGGAACATAATGAATAAAATTAGGAATAAGTAGTTATAGAAATAGGAATGGGTCAGGAATTTCACAGAGGAATTTCAGCAGGAGGACTAGAAACAGAGGTCAAGGAAGAGATTACAAGACCTATTCAATGCATTTCAGGATCAGTCCCTTAAATCCAAAGGACTATATGTCCATAACTGCACTCACAACATGTTTGAAAGTATCAGTTATATTCTTCCACAATCCACTTTTGTGCACAGAAAATGGGTGCAAAACTGAATGGGTATAAAGAAGGAGATTCACTGAAAATATGATTTGCATTGTTTTGGAAATTCTAAGGTAGGTTGCAAAACTCAGAAGAAAGGTCCAATAAAATCATTCCATTTCACAATTATCCCTTCAGTTCATAGAAGGAAACATCGCACCTTGGAAAGAGACCTCAGTAATAATGTCTGAGTTTGGTCTATTTTATCCTGGCAAGGGTGTTTGTAGTTTTGATTTTAAAAATTCCTTTGTTTGTTCATCTGGTGGTTTATGCTGAGGATCACAGTACGCGTATTTTAAACTGAAGGCAGAACCTATACTGAAAATCCTGGATCCTTTATTTGCTGATGATAAGTAATATGTTGATTGATTGATATTATATATATATATATACATATATATACACATACATACACACACACACAAACACACAGTACCTTCCATCTCAGGATCTCAAAGCATATAGAGAGGTGGGTAAGTATTATTACTCTCTGTTACAGATGAGGAAACTAAATTACAGAGAGATTAAGTGACTTGCCCAAGGTCACATGGGAAGTCTTTGCAGTCAACAATCAAATGCATATCTCCTGACACCTATGTGCCTGTTGTCAGATTCCTTTATGGAAATGAGGTCATCCTATCTGATTAAAAGGACCACTGGAATTTATTCACTGACAAAATGTTTGTCACAAAATGCATGTAAAACAAATTCTTCCTATAGTGAATAAATTAGCCATTACTGCGTTGTAGTGAATTTATATTTTAGGATATATAGTAGCTGTAAATACAAGTGAAAACATCAGTATAATGAAGTCTCTATATATTATTAAAGCTAATTTGCTATAAACAGTCTAGTGTCTGCAAAGGTTTCATATAAGAACACTTAAAATTGCATAGACTAATACTGTCATAATGGGGGCCTCATCCAAAACCCATTAAAGTCAATGAGAGTCTTTAAATTGTCTTCAGTGGGCTTTGGATCAGACCAACGTAGAACAGTGTTACCGGTTTCTTTACCTCCTGTTAAGAGAAGGTTACCTTTCTTTCCCCTAACATACTTCTATTCATCCATCCGTTACATTTTAACTGATTTAAAGCATTGCAAACAGATACCAAATTATATTTCTGCAAACTTCAGTTTGTATATTACAAACACACACAAAAAGCCCTATGTTAAATGAACATTATTAAGGTTGCAAAGTCAAGCAGTCAAAAAGTTGGGAAATGCCAGAATCAATGTTGCCTTTGCAACCTTAATTCAGCCCCCTTGTGTGTCTGCATTACAATACAGTCTTTAACAACATGATCACAGACTATTCTTTCCACAGGAACTCTGCCTAATTCAGTGCACAGAAGGGATGGTGCTCACTTAATGAGCAGCTATTCAATATTTCGTTTTATCTTCACTGCTCAATGTCCAGCCATAGGCCTCATTCATGGCACACTTTTCAAACCCTGCTCTGAAGACTGAATTATTAATTTTCTCATGGGCTTTTCTATGGTGCTCATCACTACAGTATCTGAGTGTATCACAAATATGAATGAATCACAACACCCCTGTGAGTTGAGGGGGTGGTCGTATTCTCATTTTACAGATGGGGAATTGAGGCACAAAGAGATTAAGGTCAAAAGTATCAACTAATTTTGGGTGTCCAATTTGAGACATCTAAGACCTTACTTTACAGAGTGCTTAGCATTATATAGCGCTTCACATGTTCAGAGTACAGCTTCCTTTGACTTCAGTTGTGGCGATGAGTGTGCAGCGCTTCTGCAAACCAGACCCCAATGTCTCACGTCAGACACCCAATTAGCAATAATTTGTTGAGAAAACTGGTTTAAGCGACTTGCCTAGAATGACACAGGAGCTCTGTGGCACAGGCAGGGATAGAATCTAGTTCCTCCAAGGCAGCAATCAACTGCCTTAACCATGAGACCACCCCATCTCCTCCTGCAATCCTTTGTGAATCTTTTGCATTCACTATATACCTTCCAACTTCTGCATCAAATGAGGCCGGAGTCCTACAGACAACAGCCTCTTATTCAACCCTGATTCATCCCCAAAGCAGCTCCAACCTGTGCATTGAATGAGGCAGGGATTTTGTGGAAAAAAAATTATGTGATCATGTAATTAAAGACTGTATCATAATGCATATGCACAAGGTTGTAAAAGCAACCTTAATTCTGGCATTTCATAACTTTTTAGTGTTTGACTTTGCAACCCTAATAAGTCTCTTTGTTTTAACAAGCAAAATGAAAAAAACCCCACAGAAATTCTATCATGTAGCATCATGAACCAACACCAACAGAGTTGGGGCCTTTAGATCCACCGCACAGACCTCTGCCACTTGAGCTAACAGAATAACTGACAGCAGTAGTAGGTTGACATCCTCTTTGTGGACCAGCATTTAGAGAGGGACAGCTGGTTTCTTAGATATTTGTTGACCTCAGAGGAATGGTGAGGCTCAGGAATCTTATGTTCCAGTTCAGGCTCTGAAATTGAGTGGATCTAGTGGGATTCTTCTGCTCATTTCCTTTTTTCATGACCCTTTCTGCTCTGCCCCTCCAACCTGTCCCTTGTCCTAGTCCTCTCTTCCCCACTTCCCCACAGCAGGCTTCTCATCCCAGTCTCCTTAGCCAGCAAATCTAGTCTCACCCCTCCTGACTCACCCTCCCTGTCCCAATTTCCCCTACTCCTAGTCCCAGGCTCAGTTCTCCCTGCATCTCAGTCCTTATCAAATCTATCTCCCCTCCCCCTTCATCTCTTTACTTCTCATCCCACTGGTTCTCAATCCCAGTCTCCTTGCCAAACTAGGGACAGTATCCCCCTCTGGCTCCTCAACCAATTTTAGTCCCCCACCCCATTTCATTCCCTGGCCCCAGTATCCTTGCCCAACCAGTTGCAGTCCATCTTTTTCAGATC